AATAACACACATATGACTGGGATAACAGAACACGGGAGGGACAGGGAAGATTGTGGAAGAAGTACTAGAAGAAAACTTCCCAGGTATTTTGAAGAATGGGGAAATCCACATTCATGAAGCAAACAGAACACCAAAAAAACTAGACCAAAAAAGAAAATCATGACATATCATAGCCAAATTCTCCAAGTTAACATGTTGCCACACACTTTTTAAATTGATGACTGTGCTTAGAGACACATTTGCCGTCATTTGCGGCAATGTTTTAAAAGATAAGGAAAGAATTCTAAAAACAGCAAGGGGAAACAAAGAGTTACCTACAAAGGAGAACCAATTACATTCAATTCTGATTTCTCACCAGAAACCATGTGAACTAGAAGTCATGGGATGCCAGATACAGAAGGTTGAAAGATAATAATTGTCAGCCAAAAATCCTGTATCCAGCAAAGCTCTCCATCAAATACGAAGAAGAAATTAGATTCTTTGCAGAAAAGAAAGACCCTAAGGAATTTGTGAAAACAAGACCAAAACTACAAGAAATTTTAAGTGAAGTCATTCATACAGGGATGCCAAAGGAAAGTGCATCAACCACAGTAACCAGAAACGACAGAAAAACACAGCAAAAGGTGAAACCAAAACCTGGCCTGATAATAATCACACTTAATGTGAATGGACTAAATGTATGAATTAAGAGAAAAAGAGAAGGAGAATGGACAAAACCCCCAAAACTGATCAATATGTTGCCTACAATAGACATACCTAAAAAAGGAATAGAAAGACTGACTCAAAATCAAAGGCTGAAAAATACACCAAGCAAATGGCAACCACAAAAAAGCAGGACTCCTTGTACTAATTTCTGATAAAAAAAACCTTCACACTGAAAACCACCATAAAAGATAAGGAAGGGCATTATATACTGACTAAAGGCACAACAGACCAAGAAGACATAACCTTAGTCAACATGTATGCACCAAATGATAGACCTGCCCAACACATAAAACAACAGTTAACAGAACTCAATAAAGAAATAGCACCAGCATGGTGGTAGGAGACTTCAACATACTACTACCACCAAAGAATAGGCCACCAAAAAGAAACTTAACAAAGATGCAGAAGATCTAAACTATACAATCAGCCAACTTGATTTTGTGGATGTATTCAGGGTACTGCATTCAACTAAAACTCAAATAGCTTTCTTCTCAAGTGCATTGTCCAGAATGGTACATGGTACATTGTCCAGAATCAATTACATAATAGGACACAAAGCAAGCCTCAACAAATTAAAACACTGAAATAATACAAGGTATCTTCTCAGACCACAATGCTATACAACCAGAAATTAACCACAGGAGGGTAGAGCTTACAAAGCCACCCATGTGGAAACTAAGTAACTATCTGCAAGAACATAATTGGGCTACAAAAGAAACATAGAATGAAAGAAAAAAAGATCATTGAAACAAATGAAAATGAAAATAGAACAAACCAAAATCTCTGGGATGCAGCTAAGGCAGTCCTCAGAGGGCAGTTCACAGTAATAGGCATGCACATAAAAAAGGAAGAAGAAAAATCAGTAAAATCAGTAAGACCTTCATCAAATAGAAAAATAGCAACAATCTAATCCTACAGCATCTAGAAGAAAGGAAATTATAAGGACAAGAGCTGAAACTAATGAAATCGAAAACAGGAAAATAACCAAAACAAATAAGGCCAGGAGCTGGTTTTTTGAAAGGGTCAACAGAATTGACAAACTACTGGCAAAACTGATAAAAGAAACAGGAGAAGACACAGACAATTTGATTAAGAAATGATGGAGGTGACATCATAACAGAACCAGGGAAAAGAAAATCTATAATACTGGAATATTATGAAAAGCTATACTCTGATAAATTAAAACTTTAGAGGAAATGGATATACTCCTTAAAACCATGCACTACCTAGATTGACATGGAGAGATCCATAACACTTGAACAGATTCATCACAAAAGTCATAAAAAGACTTACCCATAAGAAAAGTCCTGAACCAGATGGCTTCACAGCTGCATTCTACCATTCAGAAAAGGTCTATCACCAATTCTACTTAAAATATAAAAAAATAAAAAAAATAGAAAAAGAAGGAACAGGAACACTCTCAGAGTCATTCTATGAAGCAAGCATAATCCTAGTACCAAAACCAGGCAAAGATATTGCCAAAAAAGAAAACCACAGACCAGTATCTCTCATGAATATAGATGCAAAAATTCTTAACAAAATCCTAGCAAATAGAGTACAAAAGCACATAAAACAGACAGATCAGAAGAGAGATGGTGAAACTATCATTATATGCAGATATGACAGTGTACACAGAAAACCTAAGGACCCAACAAAAAAAAACTGTTAGAGCTAGTAGATCAATTTAGTAGATACAGGATCAATATCCAAAACTCAGTAGGATTCCTACACAGTAATAAAGAGAACTCAAGAGAAGGAAACCAAGAAAGCAGTATCATTTACAACAGCCAACTACAAATTGAGATACTTGGGAGCAAACCTAGCTAGAGACACAAATGACCTGTACCAAAAAAACCTAACGAACATTTCTGTGTGACATAATAAAAGACCTTAAAAAAAAAAAAGAAAGGAAAAAATGTGTCTTGGTCATGGACAGAAAGACTCAATATTGTGAAATGACAATTGTACCAAAAGCAACCTACATGGAAGGAAAGGGAAACAGTTCCCAGACGGGAAATTAACTAAAAGCTATTATGTGCTTCTGTATCAGATGCTCTTTCTCATTAGAAATTATAATTAAGGACAAACAAAGGTTTGTTGCTGTTGCTGCTTTAGTAGTGATGATGAACTAAAGTGAATTATTTGTTCACAACCAGCTGTTTATAAAACATCAAATATTATACTTCCAAATCATGGAGAAATGGGAGAAACGGAATATCCCTAAGAAAGTATATATGGAAGTGGAGTAATTTTTAAAGTTTAATGATTGTACAATCTAGAAGATAGAATTAGTAGTTACACAGAAATGGAAACGTAATGACTCTTCTTGGGTGGTGCACATGCTTGATTAGAACTGAGAGGCCTGGTAATGTACTCCTGAAAACCCTCAGGCACAGTTATAATAGGACACACACAGGGTCACAAGGAAGCACTGTGATAGTGCTTTGATAGTTTTATTAACTAAAAGACATTGGGATACTTACATTTAAAAAATTTTTGAGTATAAATGTCAAATAAACACAGGTTCAACTGTAAAGTCATTTCAAATTTGATACACAAAATCTAGAACTGGAGCACAGAAATATCAGTAAACATACCAACTGTTTTCATTTGGAAAATATTTTCACGAATTTTATTTCTAAACAAGAGAAAAGAAGGAAAAGAAAGAAGCAATTCACATTTCTGTCTCAAGTATGCAGTCACTGGTTCTCAACTGTTAATGGGCTTAAGCCATCTAAGTATTTTTTCCCAACTTCTGCAGGTTTTCTCCTCCATCACTAATTCCCATTGTGACTGGTCAAACATTACACAGGCTAATGATCAGAGATTCTGTTACTTTAAGAATAAGGCTAAGACTTGAGGGTTCGTGTGGCTCCTAATAAAAGCAAGGGAAGCTAAGACATTTTCCGAGCTTCATGTCTTGCCACAGTTCCAGATCACACACCAAGGAATCGCTCTTAGCTCCACCAGGCAGCCCAGCTCCCTTACTGGGTCTGCTGGCACCAGTGTGCAGTGCTAGGCCGTCAAGCTTTACTTTACAATAAACATCACTTTGGAAAAACAGAAGTTTTTGTAAAAAAAAAAGCTATCCTTTTCATTTTGAGTAGTTTCAAGACAAAAGAATAGAGAATAAATTTTTTAGGAGGGGAAAAAAAAAAGTAGTAAGAGGACAAAAAGTGGAACAGACCTAGAAGGTAGGAAATAATTAGCAGAATGTAGGGATATTCTAAATACTATAGGTGACATTCATTTGCTGCAGGTCAAGGATTAGATAGGATTATTGAATACTGAACATAAATAGAGTATTACTGAATAATTGTACTGAATATGAATATGAATATGGATTGAAGCTCAACATCAAGAAAACAAAGATTCTCACCAATGGGCCAACTGGCAGCATTATGATAGATGGTGAAAAGACTGAGATTGTTAACAGCTTCAGTTTGCTTGGCTTCACAACCAACACTCTTGGTACCAGCAGCTAGGAAATCAAAAGACAAGTTGCACTGGGAAAATCTGCTGTCAGGGACCTCTCCTGAGTACTGAAGAGCAATTATGTCAGTCTGGAGACCACAGTATGCCCTAGTCTTGACAATTATTTACACCAGAAAGTTTACATCAGAAAGCTGGACAATGACTAAAGGTGATAGAAGGAGAACTGATGACTTTGAGTTGTGGTGCTGGAGAAGACTGCTAGGAGAACAAACATGTTCCTTCTGGAGAGGGTAAAACTAGGATGTTTTTTGAAGGCAAGGATTCTAAAGCTCCATCTGACATATTCTGGGCATTCTGTAAGAAGGGACCAGTCTTTGGAGAAGGACATCATGTTTGGGAGGGTGGAGGGACAGTGCAAGAGAAGAAGACCCGGGATGAGATGGATTGACTCAGTGGCTAGGGTAATGAGGTGTGGCAGAAACAGTGAGATTGCCTCAGGATAGAGAGCAGAGTTCAAGGCTGTTGTACATAGGGTCGAAGGCACTTAACAAAACAACAACAACGGTAACATATATAATAAAAGACAAGTTCAATGAAAAACTTTATTTCTGGATATATCACATTAAAATAAATACATTATTCATTCAGAATATCATAATCAACGCAAAAATAGAACATTTTTCTTCCCTATATATTTGTAGGCAAGAAACATGATATTTTAGTCAAGTCTTCAGTGTAAGTTTCTCAAAACATAGTTAACATCCAATTTAACATCCAAAAGATATATAAAAGCATAATTAAGTGTGGCAAAAGGAAGTTGTCAAAACACATTTTATGTACTTTATACAAATGTATTTTAGTTACTGTTTTTCCAGAGCTTCACCAGTTAGTCGAATAGCAATACTCTTCCCTTCATCCGACTGAATAACCAGCAAAGCTTCAAATGTGCCCATTGCATGAGGCCTAAACTGCACTGGTATGTTGATGTAGTGCTGGGCTCTGTAAGAGAAAGGAGAACATCAGCAGTTCAGCAATGCCTAGACAGCAAGAAGACATAAAAGCAGCACAATGTGCACAGAGGTCAGCAAATGTTTGGCCAAAGAATCTAGCCGCCTTTTATTCAACCCATTTTTTTATTTCTCACTTCTTGGATGCTATGATTTCATTAAAGATCTCTGGTGGGATACCAGGTTTTGTTGGGCTGCTAACTTAAAGGTCAACAGTACAAACCTGCCAGTTGCCTGTGAAAGAAAGATGGGCAGTCTCCTCCATTGAGGATTTACAGCCTTGGAGATGGGATGAGAGTTACTATGAGTTGAAACTGACTCAGTGGCAACAAGTCATTATTAATAAAGTGGTCAAAAGAGAAGAAAAAAACCCTTAATTCTCACAATAACATTTATATACTACTGGCTATAAAATAAAAGGAAATAAGTTATCCATGTAGTTTTGCATTCTGTCTACCGAAAAAAGGTTCAGAAGAATGAATAATTACCCCATTCATTTAACTTAGGCAGTGTATTATACTAGAAGAGTATAAGATCAATGAATAACCCGCTCAAATGATTGAGAGGGCTATGTAGGGTTTTTTTTATTGTATTTCTTTTTTTTCCCTATATTTTATTAATTTTCATAAACATTTACAGAGATTTTGGGTTTCCATTCATTCATTGTTGCACTATTCTCTCTACCCTCCTCCCAGTTTGTTCTTG